GCTAGAAAATAGGCTGAACCGTTTCGGAGATTGAAGAAAAGAAACTTTTGAAAGTTGAACCTCTTGGAGCATTTCAGTATTATTTCTCTAATTTTTAGTCGTAAGGTCTTATCGAAGGATCCTTGATATGTTATTGTAGAGAATTGAATGCTGAATCTTTTGAAAGAAACTCGAAGTCTTTGAGATGGAATTCAAGACCGATACCGATGAAACAATCAGACCATCATTATTTATAGCCCACCCGTTACTTGTAAAAAAATACAAAATAAACTTGCGAAAAATAAACAGAGTTCAATGCTGATTCTTAGACTAACAAATTAGGCTCAACTTAATTGGGGTGTCAAATCCAGAATTTCACACACTTTCTTTCGAGAAACCAATTAGAAATTCAGATTCCTTGATCGCGAAAATATTTTATTAACGTATGTACAAGGACATTTCTTCATAAAACAAATCATAACTGATCAGAAAATCAAACCTACAAGTTTCAGTTATCAGTTACCTGACATTATAACACGAATAGCTAAAAATTGACCGGTACACCGGTGCCACCGGCCCACCGTACCCCCGGTGCACCGTAGTGTCGGTGCACCGCCCACCGGTGTCACCGTACCCCCGGTGCACCGGTCCACCGGTGCACCGATACTACGGTGAACCGCCACCGGTGCATCCCTATATACATATAACATCTTAATTCAATCACAATAAGCAATTGATAAGTTTAAGCTCATGGCACTTATCGAAACCGGTCTTGCTAGCTATTATATGATTGAATTCAACTGATTTGATTTTAATTATATTAAAATCATTTCTAAATTCAACACACCCACACCCCACATATGACTATCAATTACATTGAATAAATGCATATATCTATATTATAGTTACATTGATGATATTTTCATGACTACAAACGAATCTACAGAAAGCATTCAAGCATTACTTGAACAAGAAAATTTGAAAGATCCCAATATTCATATTAATTATTCAATTGATCAATCAGCACAATTTCTTGATATTCATGTCGAAAATATAGAAGGAAATTTCAAAACATCGATTTTCCGAAAACCCGCTGCTGAACCCTATATTTTACCATACACAACAGATCATCCACGCCATATTCATTCGAATACAATAACAACAGCCTTACTTAATGGCATTCGTATTTGCTCCGATGTACATTTATTCGATCAAGAAAGATTAAATATTGAAATACGTCTTCTACTAAATGGCTATACGCGAAAATTTATCCGTCATCATTTTACGGCATTCTTTAAAAATTTCAATGCATTGTCGATCTATCATGACTTAGATGAACAAAGATACAAAGAACTACATCTTCAGCTGCTCAATGAATTCTCGACTGATCATAATAACAAAAAAGAAAGCACCAAGCCAACAGCAAACCAACACAAAAATAAGATACCCAACAAAGACGTAACCAACACACAAAAAACACTTATGATACATTACCGATATGAAAACGGACCATTAAAACTGTTCCCAAACCAGTTCAAGAAACTATGGAAAAAACACTTCCACTACGACAATTCATCACTGATGCATGTTAGACTTATCCTAGGAACTCGTAACAACAAAACATTGGAAAATTTATTAGTTGAAAAAAAACCACAATCCACACTTTTAAAAAGTGATAATATGTTCACGCAACGCAACCACACATGCAGATCAACTCCAATACATACAAAAACTTCCTTCTCTATAATTTCGCTTTCCGTTTAAAAAAAATCATTTGAAAAATAAAAAAAAATTACAACACTCTCACTACAACATCAAATCTTTCGAATCACTCAAACTGATCCATTTATTTTTCTTATAGATTATTTAAAACACAAAACATGTATACAACGACATACATCATCACCACAGCCAAACATCATCACAAAAATACTATAAACTTTCAGAAACAATTTTCAATGTATCAAACACAGAAAACAAAATGACATAACACATTATCAACAACAGCACCATAATGCTAGAACTTGAACCTACTACATCATGCCCAACAAACAACGATAGCATTTTCTTAAGGTAAAAATATCATTTTTCTTCGCTTCGCAACAGATTTGACAGTATGTGCTGTCACTAAATCATGCCGTGTCTAAGAAATAATTATTACATTCATCACAATATCAAAAAAAACATTTCATCTGAAAATCAATGAGTAACCTCGGTATACTTAACAAAACAAGTAAAATATTAAAGAATACCACCTGATGAAGTCCCGCCACGGACAGAAACAACGTTGTCGTGGGATGGCGATTTAATCTAAATACACACACACACCCACATTTACCTCCACCCACACCCACACCCCCACACCCACATCCACCCACACCCACACCACACCCACACCCACATCCACCCACACCCACACCACACCCACACCCACAGCCTTCTATGATATTATATTAGCCGATATATTGAGTGGGCTGATTCATTACTATGTCTTTTTGAACCCTTTCTTTTAATCACGAGTTATAGAGCCAAACAAGCATAAGCCCGCACAGAATAAAAAGGTGTGACGCCATAGCAGAAAAAATTGATCGTGACCAAAATACAAGTTCGTGATTTTACTTGATCGTGACCAAAAAAGTTTTGTCACGATAATCTCTATTGAATACTGCAAAATCGTTTCAAAGCCGTACGTTTTTGTTTAACAGTTTCACTAAGCTGTTTTTTGTACACATGTGAAGGCAGCACAAAAACGATGAAAGTGAGCATTGAGGGAACATAGGAAATGAAGTAGCCAGCTAAGAAGATCCACGGATTGCGCGCAGATTTCATACAACTGGAGGTGAAATAGATAATCAGACGAGGCAGATTTAGAAGAATTAATGCAACGGGTGAAATTAATAGATGTTGATGTTCACGTAGCTGTTTGCGAAGATGTTCTGCATACGTTGTTTGTTTCGTAACTGTGAAACGATTTCGACTAATTGTAATAATAATGATCGCGGCACAGGCAAGATTAAATGCAAATGGTAGTAGAAAATGGAACATTTTTATCGTCAAATTAAAGAGCTGAACACCGTTGGGATAGGAAACAATGCACCACGTTCGACTTTCTTCGATATCATCAATTAAACGACGATGCAAGGGATCATGAATATTTGTCAAAATTATAAAGACAAGAAGAACAAGAATAATCATTTTAGCAACACGTTTACTTTTAACCTTGTCGAAATGAACTCCCTTAATCACTGTAAACGCTCGTTCAACAAATACAGCCGCATTAAGCCATTCGCTAGAACTGACAAAGACTTGAAGAATAATATCCATCAGAGTACAACTAAATGTAAGATAAGATCGATTGGTGATTGTGCCTTTTTGTGCAAGAACGACAAGCCAAAACTTCAAGGTAAATGAAACCGTAGTGAAAGTAGACATTATCGATGAAAAGAGCAAATATAGACCGCATCCAGTTTCTCGCATCTTTGCGCCTTGAAACGTTACGATTGAAATAGTATTATTAACAAAACCTAGCACGAACATAATTATTGTGACAACTATGCTCACTTTGAGAGCGATTGGTTGTCGACTAAAGGTAACGTAAGGTCGAATTTGGTAACCAAGAATGACATCGAGTGAGAGGCCAAAACCCTTTGTGCTAAATTGACACCGTGATCCGTAGAAACAATCGTTACAAACGCAAATTCTTGATGATGGACAAAGTGGATGATCTTGAAAACATTGTGCACCATTTTCACAGTTGCTCCATCCGTAACAATTATACGTCATATTATGATCGAATTCTACACAATTAGCATGCCGTTCATTTGAACATAAACACATATGTACTTCGTCATGGAAGCATTGCAAATCATTTCGTTCATGACATAGATTATAATAATATTTCATGCGTCCAATAATGCTTAATGTCATTATTGTTGAATTAAAGAGCATGTCTACTGCTGGACAATGACTTGAAGTAGTTAATAATAAATTTAAGTGAGTTAAAGGCACAAACTTTGGTTGTACATAAGCTAAATAGTAAGAACCAGAAAACTGTACGAAAATAACATGGTATTCCAAGGACTGATAAATACTAACAGAATCTTGGTCGAAGCCAATTTTTTTCATCATGGTTGTTCGCGAGCTTGGAGCATTGTTCATAACAGTAATGAAATGAATGAACACAGATGTTGGAATAGTCATATCGGAATCGGAAAATGAAATTTCAATTTTGGATTCTTCACGCTCACATTGTATGCCTGTATAGCCATGCTCATAAATACATAAGAAGTTGTGTTCGGCTATCCGCTCATCTTCTGGCACACATAAGCCATGATTTGAACAAGTATTCGAATGACACGAAGATCTTGCTAGTAAGCATCGTGATCCATATTTGCCGAGAGGACACACACAGATTGTGTTATTATTAGCAGATCCAATGCAAACAGATCCATTCGCACAGTTGCAATGATGAGTTCTTTCACAAGACGAGCCAAACCATCCTGGCGAGCATCGACAAAATGGTCGCTGTGTATTCGTTTACAGCAAACATTCACCATGGATGCAACTAGGAAAACAATTCTGTGAGGTGGCACTTGATTTCAATGGAATTTCTAAAAAAGTAGCAATGCGCTGAACAGGCAAAAAGGAGAATTGAAGTGGAAATTCCCAGGTAGCACGATAATTCAAGTTGCGCTTCTCAAAAAGATCTATCCGAATGGTATAGTTCTTTGAAACATCCTTCGATCGATTGGAATAAAGCAGATTGATGCCAAACTGAACATTACAATCTTGAACAGCAATATACATACGCTGCTCGAATGAATGGATCTGAGAGGTGTTATCAATTAACATGATCACCAAATTAATTACTGTGCGCCATTCGAGTGTAACTAGAATATAGGAAAGACTTATGCGTTGACTTTGAAATTGGCACCGATGACCATAGTAGGCAGGTGGACATAAGCAATAATAATTGACTTCTTCTTCAGTTCGACCCCGCATGAGCAAGCCTCGGTTGCACAACCAAGTCACATCTAGACTTCCTGTTTGATAATTTTCATACGATAGAGAATCAGCATGTTTTTCCGACAAATCGGTTCGAAGTAAAGTTGAACGATGCCCATTGTCAGTCAACCTAAATTATGTTGACTTCTGTTCTTTCAAAGATTCGTCCAGTCCGCAGAGAAACTCACGACTTGGATGACGTTCGAGTTCCGGATAATAAATATACTCGCTGCATATATCCGATGTAGGATCTATTCGAAAAACTTTTTATCATCTTCGAATGGACACTGTTCCAAATTTGTACACATTCTATACACAGTAATGCATTCAGTACTGTTCCAGCAACGATATCTTTCATCAGTAGCGGCAGGTCTTTGTCTGCGGCAATAGACACGTTCATCAGATCCACCAAGACAATCGACGTGTCCATCACCAGCATGAATGGCAGACAAACAAATCAATTCGAATGTTTCAGCCGACACACATTTGAACTCGTTTGCTGCACATGTACTAGACCAATTTGAACAGTTCAGCTCATCACTACCATCCATGCAATTCCAAAATCCATCACATCGAGTGTACATATTACTACATGGCCAATGATCACAATTTGTCTCATCCGTTTCTGTCGAACGATTTAGTATATATTGAGCAAGATTGACTTCAATGAAACCATCACAGGTCGTTGGAAAAGAAATCGTTTCATTTTCTATCATATTTGTTGTGAATTCTTCATCTTCACCTTTCAAACAATCGGGTATGCCATCTTGATGAATCAAATACGAAATACACTTGTCTTCAAAAGTGCAAGCAAATCGTAGATCATCATGTACAGAACAAGAATAATTCGTTCGTTCATCGCTTCCATCAAAGCAATCGACAAAACCATCGACTAGTCTTCTGTTAGGAATACACTTGCTGGAATTTTCACATTGAAAAAACCCATCATTTTGACAATGTTCTTTACTGATACCATTCGCAGAACATGACCAAAAAGTTTTTGCAAGACTTTCAATCACACCAAACCAGCCAGATAGCTCACTGAACTCAACGAGGGAACGGCAAGTTGATCCGTTAATCCGGATTGTCCATGGCATGAATGGACACAGTTGTGCATCGTAGCATATATACATGGGTTTAGCAGGACTTTCACCAGTTACTAACTTGGGAATGGATTGATTATGAGAATAGTATAAATAGACATGACCAAATAATATAGGCCAAGCAGGAAAAACAAATAAGGATGGGCAGTTGGCCAAAATGAATTTCGAACAATCGTTATCAATCTTATAGCAAGGCGAACTTCGGCTCATCGAAACATCTACATGATCGTTAATTTCAAGATAATTAATCATCGCCGACCAACATTCAATGGTCAAGGAAGGATTGTTTGACTTGGAAAAAATTGTTTTATACAATAGAAAATTCCGTCTATTACTGCAGCCAGCTTTTTTTACAATAGAACCAGGATTGCCATCGCCACAGTTGAAAATAAAAGCACCCACATATGGAATATAACCAAGTCTACTAGAACGATCTTCACATCTCATAGTGGGATCCTCTAAGCAAAGAAAACGACCACTTTCATCACTACCATCCAAACAATCGGGATTAGCCGGATCATTATTAAAGAATTCCATTGGAATACACTGTCCATTGTGACACTGAAACTCGTTTTTCGCACACATGTTTATCTCCAATTCAACGCAATCACGTTCATCGGCGTTGTAATTTATAGTCTATTTTTCCATCACAAATATCATGCCAATCAAGACAAAGTGGTTCTGGACCAACATAACAATCTAGGTGTATGTAGCAAGTATGATTTGTCACTTCAAATAGATGTTCTACGTGCCTAGTCTTGGAGAAAAAAGCAACTTTGACGATCTCATTTAAAGACCGATCTTCATCGAATTGATATTGACAAAACTGTCCGAACCACGGACGAGAGCAGTTATAAAATATTTCATTGGACAATATTTTGTTCGAATTGTCTAAATACAGTTGATAACGTTCAGCAAGATCAATTGGAACAGACCACTTATACAGTTGTTCACTAGTTATTTGCTGTAAGCGAAGTTCATTGAACGTATAATTCGTACCGTATACGTTTAATGGAACTGAAGTCAATATCTCGTCCGATTCTGGGCGAATACAATAAGGAATTATTTGCGATAACCCCGAATAGCCATGTTCCCACTCCGATAAATGATCGGGAATATAATAGTGCAAGCAATCGTGCATCCAATTGAGCTCATATCGCCGGTCTGTAAAGTGGCGATTGAATTGATGCTCATCTGTACGCATTTATATGATTGTGAGCCAGTGACAAAGAAAAATTCGAAGCAACATTGCAGCAGAAATAGAAACTGAAGTCACAGCTACGGCATTTTTGTATGCTATTATTTTCAGTTGGATTAAATTTAGTACTGACATAGATAATCACGTTCAGAGGACATCCACACATTCAGCTGTTGACATTTCCATCTTTTTTTCTCTATGAATTTACAGAGATTATATATCTGCCACTAAGTATCATCTTTACAGTAAATAGAGCAAGAAAAAATTAGAAAAGAAACAAAACATAAACGGAATGAAATATTACGCATTTTTTAAAGGCTGCGGGGTGGCTGAGGATGTGGGTATGCGTGTGTGTGGGTGTGGATGTGTGTTGGTGTGGATGTAGGTGTGGGTGTGGATGTGGGCGGGTGTGGGTGTGGGGTGGGTGTGGGTGGGTGGGTGTGGGTGTGGGTGTGGGTGGGGGTGGGGGGGAGGGTG